TGTATATTGACAGTAAAAGAAAAGTCATGAAGGTCAATCTCGTTCTTACACAACATGCTACATGGTTATATTCACATCCGAAGCACAGACAGTTCCACTACAACCACATGAAAAATACAAGCAGAACTTCGACGTTTCAAACGAAGACCCTTCATGCAAAAAGTTAGTCGCAGCTTCGGTCTAATCATCGTTACTACCTATACCTAGCACTGACCGTTCGAGTTTATTCACATCTCGTAACTTATTTGTAATTTAATGCATACTGCACGCATTTTATTCATTAAGTCATAAAATCAATATAATATTATCTGATTTTTTCTGTGTTGGTGTTGTGTACTCAGGTGAATAGTATGATGTTTGTGATGTTACTCTGAGTGTATATCCACACCGGGCGAGCTTGAAAAATATGCCCAGCCACGGTGGGAATCGAACCTACGACCTTTGGAATACTAGCCCAATGCTCTGCCAACTGAGCTACGCGGTCAGGACGGTTCGAGTAAGTGATATTTCGGAACAGAATCTAGTTCCTTCGATACCAATGTAATCTAGTAATATGATTTTTTCTGTGTTGGTGTTGTGTACTCAGGTGAATAATATGATGTTTGTGATGTTACTCTGAGTGTATATCCAATACTAGCCCAATGCTCTGCCAACTGAGCTACGCGGTCAGGACGGTGTGGATATACACTCAGAGTAACATCACAAACATCATAATATTATCTGTTTCTCTTTTTAGCTGGGCTAGGTTTATCAAATACAAATTATGCTCGTATTTTGGAAACACTTTGTACAGACCCTGCCATTGCTGTAACTCTCATGGCTCACCAATCTATTGGTCTTAAGGTGAGTATGACATTGAATCTTTAAAGGTAGGGGTCACCGTGCAGTCTGAATAGAGCTTTCTTCATGTTGTTATTCAGCTGAATACCGGACAGTTGAAAAATATCCGGCGGAATTATCCGGCCGGATACCTGATATTGTTGATATGATAAGGTTTTGATCAACTTTCATTTAAGGTAAAACAATGGTTTTAATTGGTTATAAGTGAGGCGGTTTATAATATTTTCACTTGAAATCATAGGAAAGAACTTGAACAGTTTAACATCGATAAACCTGCACAGTTGCAAAAGCCTTACCCACAAAAGGTAAAATCCACGTTTTAGCATTCGTAAACAAGCATGATAATACTGCCAGATTCTTTATGATCATTTCAAGTAAAATATACAGCTAATTCAAAAAAGTTTGTCCTTTGCAAACCTTAAACTCTAAACCTTAAACCTTAAACTCTAAGGCTAAGCGTGCAAAGCATAACGGGAGCATCATTTGATCAGTTTAGAAATCATATTAGAGAGGCAGTAAATATCTCCTTACGAGAACAATTCATTCACAAATATATAGCTGCAATATTCAACTACTAAGCTTGAAACTTGTGCTTCATATATCGATTGGAAGCTTTGCGCTCTTAGAGTTTAAGGTTTAGAGTTTAAGGTTTGGAAAGGACAACCTTTTTGAATTGGCTGTAAATAATAGTTATAAACATCCCTACTTTTTTAAGCATATCAAATTATTTTTTTAACCTGAAAACGACCTGAACCAGCTTGTATAAACAATATCTGGTATCCGGCCGGATAGTATATAGAAGTATCCAGCCAAATATCGAGATTGCATGTACTGTATCTCACTATCCGATCCAGATACCAGCTGTATATATGATATACAGTACAGTATATCCAGTGCATCCTATTTAAAGGGTGGAAAGGTCGCAAGAGGTGACCTCAACAGAGGAGGCTAAGGATCGTCCTAGTCTCCTACAGCTACAGTATCCTGAATGAAAGGGGGATAATATTTCGCCTCCTCCTCCCTCCCATAAATTGATGGCCACTATCATGTTTGGAGTCCTAAAGCCCTGGGCAAACTAGGAAACATTGTTGCCGAAACATTGTTTCCTACCAATGTTTCGCCATGTTTTCAACAGTGGGCAAACACTAGGAAACATTAGTGAGAAACATAGGGAAACATCAAATGTTTCTGAATTCGCTAGGAAGCATTTTTTCTTCTCGCGAAGCAACTTTTGTTTCCGCAACAATGTTTCCACGGGTGGGCAAACATGGAAACATTTGAGGAAACATCGAGAATCACAAATGTTTCCACAACAATATTTCCTAGTTTGCCCAGGGCTTAAGCTTCCTAATTATTGCACTCGAGTTTCCATTGATTTTATATGAATATTAATTTAATTTTAGGGAATTTTAATATTAGGCACAGAAGAACAAAAAACAAAATATCTGCCGAAACTTGCCATGGGTGAGAACATGGCTGCTTTCTGTCTCACTGAACCATCCAGGTAATTATATACTGCATCTTTATTACAGCGTATTTTATAATGCATTTCAGAAAGAAAGGACTAAATCGCTAGTTAAGAGCCCCCCCCCGCGCCCTCTACAAAATCTGTATGGAACCACCGAAGCCTGGATTCGCAAGATTTACATTACTTATGCAGTTATGCACACAGTTTGAAATAAAGTTCGGAAGTTTTTTTACCAAGTGCTCAATCGATCGGACGTTTTATATCGACAAAAAATACCAACCACGTTTCTTGAATGACTTGGGTGTTAACCAAAGACATTGCATTTGAGCATCGCACAAAGAGTACACCATTGTCAAATTTGAAAACACTTTTAATATACCTTATTTTTAGTGGCACAAAATATTTCTTTACGTACAGTAATTTACCTAACAGAAGCTGGGAATGTAATCGACAAATGTGTGACCAAATTTGAAAATCTCCGATCAAAAATAACTTTGATCGAAACTTTTTCGGAACAGTTTTTCTTTAAACGTTATTTCAGGTTCTGTATACAGGATGGTAATACCATCTCCTGTAAAATCTGAAACTCCTTCCTGAAAAATATGTATGCCCTCCTCCTGGATCTCTTCCCAGTTCAATATTACAGCAATTACCATAATGTCATTGGACAAGTCATTGTTTTTGACTTTTTAGTGGTAGTGATGCTGCTTCTATACAGAGTAGAGCCACTTTAAGTCCTGATGGAAAGCACTATATCTTAAATGGAAATAAAGTAAGAATTTTAGCAATTTCAGACTTTCACTTTCAATTGAGTCTTTCAACGCATAATGGTGCATTTATGTGTTAGTGTGTCGACATTAACTTACGTTATTGCACCTTTCATAGATCTGGATATCGAATGGAGGATGGGCTGACGTTTTTACAGTCTTTGCAAGAACAAATGTAACAAATGAAAATGTAAGTTAACAATTTGGTGTACATTTTCGTATCAATCATAAGAACAGAATGCCCAAGCTCTACTTATGCCTGCATCGAGCCTTTAAAAAGCAAAGTAAAACTGTAACCAGGCCTTTTCTCGAAGCATGGTGAAATTCTTAGTTGTGCAGTACTTAAGCTGGTGTACTGTACAAATGAAGATGTACTGTACAAAGACTCAAGCTGTACTTAGTCTTTAAAATGAAGTACATAAAGTGCAGGTTTCTGAAAGGTATTGGGTAACCTGAATCTACGAGTTAGAACAAGGAGCACAATTACACATACAAAAATAGGTACACTAGGCGTACATGTATCTGCACTGATTGATGTACCACACGGATGTACTGAACACCTCATGCATGCAGCCCAACATACATGGTAATTCGGTATTCCCTGCATAATTCAATTCAGCTCAGAGATTGAGTTATTAAAATTAGAAGATTATTCTTATTAAGATGATTGTTCTCATTTTAACCTTTTTCGTGTTGTTATGTATTTGAATTTAACAGATATAAATTTGTATTACGTTCGAAAACGATTATAGTCTAATGTATTGTGAAATAAATTCGATTCTTGAAGATTATGAGGCCTGTTTCAAGCATCTGCTGAAGCTTATTCTGTCGGTACAATAGATGTATGATGCGTGGTCCGCGGTGTTGTCCACTGATGTAGTCCAGGGATGGATTTACTTTAGCCCTGGCGAGAGGGCGTGCTATTTTTCATGACAAAGCAAGAAATAATATAGTCTAAAAGGAGATACAGTAATTTATATATATAGCGTATAGCATAAAGCAAAAGTTTTGAAAGTCAAAATAGTGTTCCAAATCGTTCGTATTTCGACACTTCAAATTTTAAGAGTAAAACATTGGATCATTACCCTCCAGACATTACGTGACTGTTAAGAGACCGTGGTTAACAAACTTAACAGACGCGATAGCAATATGCGCACGCAAGCGCAGATACAAACCTACGGTTGACTCTAACATTCCTTAGTCCCATCAGTCTTATCATGTTTCATGCCAAGACATGTCAGACTAATGCACACCAGCGAATAGTGAGTACACAGATAGCGAGACATCCACATACCTATATGGTACTTGGCTGAAAACAAAAGAAGTACCAGACTACAATATTAGATACCTTAAGCCCGTTTTCCACTCACGTATTTCGCCGCCGCTGGCGAAAAAGTTTGACAAAGAAATCATTTTTTTACATTCATTCGCCGCTGAAGAATTTGTTCTTCTGCTGTTTGACCTTTCGTTGACGGCGCGAAATAACAACAAATGAACTTTTTCGGTGGCGAAATTTTTCGCCAGCGGCGGCGAAATACGTGAGTGGAAAACGGGCGTTAAGATGTAGGACGGAAAAGCGACGACGACGGCCAAGACAAATTATGAATTGTATGAATAACAAAGCAATTCCATGAATTTAATACAGCTCGAAGAGAACAAAACAGAGGCTTTTTATTCAGTAGAATTCCACATTAGTACTGAACCAATTTGCTGTGTATCCACTTCTTATGTACTAAAATGCAAACGTTGTACACAAGATGTAAAAACTCTTGTTCACCGGTAGGTAGTATGGTAGTAAATAGTAAATATTGTTCAGTAGTAAATATTTCAGTAGTTCCAAAAACATTAAATTTTATTAAACTATTTTGTAAAGGGTGAAATTGAAGACAAGATAACGGCGTTTGTTGTCGAGAGGGCGTTTGGTGGAGTAAGCAATGGAAAGCCCGAGGACAAAATGGGAATAAGAGGATCGAATAGTGAGTCAAACATTTTTGTAATGCAAAACCGTGTGGTTTCAACTGCCTAGAAGTTGTCAAATATACAGTTTTCGATTAGTTATTGGTGTTCGACACATCATGATAGATTATTCAATACATCAAAGTCTCGTTGAGCTTTATTTTTAAAAAATTATTTAACAGCTTTAATTTGGCGCGTAGATAACTTGGAAATATTGTACATAGATAATGAAATATTGTACATAGATAACTTATACATAGATAATGACATTGAACAAGAATATGAAAAATATTAACTAGGTGCCAAACGTGGCGAAACACAAACGGAGCTACTGTATGTTTCATGCATGGTGCTCTCCATTAGATGAGATGTATAGATGAGGAAGAAAAATGTAGAATATAAAAATGGAAGGTGAATGGAAAACTAGAATCACGGAAGAGAGAAGTACTGTAGCAGAATGAATGAATGACTTGGAAGACTGGGCCGGATTTTGGTGAAAATAGTGGGAGGAAGTGGAAAAAAATTTAGGGGAGGTGCAGCAGTTTGGACTTAGAACGGGCCTAAGTCAATGACATGATACACTCATTGTATCAGTGTATCAATGAATTATGACTGTACGACTCATCCAATTTTGCCCTTCATTAAATTACTACAAAGCTTCTTTCAAAACATTGCATTGAAAAGGTACTTAACACATAGATGAATGGCTATACTGTTTCAATTTTACAGAAAAACTTTCTTACGAAAGACCCTAAGCAACCATCAAATTTACTTTGATCTATCATTGAAACTTTCCCATGAGAAGGTGCATCACTTTTCAAGGGAGGTGCAAAACGATCTCTGGGGAGGTGCGCACCTCCCCTCAAAATCCAGCCATGCTTGAATATATTAGTTAGTCGTGATCAATGAGTGTGAGCTAGGTAAATCAGGAGTGTAGGTGTGCCATACCTTGTGTAGGTATGATTGCATGATTTAAATTAGGTATGAGTGCATGATTTAAATTAGGTGGAGAGTAGTTTATAAATTATACATTTAAATTTAATGCGTTTTTCAGCATGTGAAGTGATATTTGAAAACACTCCAATCCCAGTTGAAAATGTTCTTGGCGAGGTGGGAGGAGGTTTCAAGGTAAGACGCAGGCGTTGTTTGGCTGTCTAGGTGACTTTGGTTATCACAGTACACTTCAATATTTATTTTACTATTACAGTATAACTACAGGTACATTTAGAGTTGATATAAATAAGAGGAATTACGGAACAAATAGATCACCTTGTCTTACTGCAGCACAAAAAAGTTCTAAGCCTGTCGATCCCTCCCC